TTCTCACTGATGCAAGGTCAGTCACCTTTAGGATGGCAAAGGTAGAACGCGAAGACAATTGGAATTTGCTACACTAAGATAAACATGATTAACATGATTTTTAACATTATGTAGTTTATACATGTATCCAAATATTACATGGTACCACCCTAATATGTACAAATTTTATGTTTTTAATGTATCAGTTAAAAAGTAATTAATTTTAAACCCTCCTACAGTAAAGGAGTCACAAGATATAGAAGTTTTCACCAAAGTCTTAGCAGTGGAGAAGGTGGGAAGTGCTGGGATTCTGGATAAATATTAATGGATAACCACTTATGATGTTATGTATTATATATGTGACTATACATAATATATAATAATGAAATTTATATATATATATGTGTGTGTGAGTGTGTGTGTGTGTGTGTGTGTGTGTGTGTGTATTGGTACTTGGAATTGAATTCATGAGCACTTTACCACTGAGCTACATCCTCAGGCCTTTTTATGTTTTGTTTTGAAACAGGGTCTCTCTCAGTTGCTTAGGGCCTTGCTAAATTGCTGAGCTGTCTTTGAACTTGTGATCCTCCTCCCTCAGCCTCAGGAGTCTCTGGGATTACAGAATGGATCATCCTGACAGAGGAATCATTAGGATGAAAAGAGCAGACTTCAGGTAGCTAGCGTTTCAGGGGAGGCTCAAGAGTTCTTTTTTTTATGTTGATTTTTTTTTTTTTTTTTTTTTTTTGGTGCTGGGAATTTAACCCAGGGTCTCAAGAATGCTGGGCAAATGAACCACACCCTAGCCCATATATTTGATTTTTAAACTGAGATAATTGAGATATCAGAATATTTACCCTTATAAAATGTATAATCCACTGGTTCTTAGTATATCCATAAGGTTGTACAACCATAAGTACGATCTAATCTAGAATGGTTCATGACTCCAAAAAGGAAACCCTTTATCCATTCCCCCTTTCCTGGTATGAAGGGATCTGCCTATTCTGGAAACTTCGTGTAAATGGCTCCATACAGTACATAGCCTTTTGCACCAGGCTTCTTTTATTTAGCACACTGTTTTTAAGGTCCGTCCATGTTGTAGCACACATCAGTATTTCATTCTGTTATTTTTTTATTTTTATTGTTTGGTGTCAGAGATTGAACTCAGAGATACTTAGCCACTGAGCCCCATCCCCAGCACCGCCCCCCAGCACTTTTTTGCATTTCATTTAGAGACAGGGTCTCACTGAGTTACTTGGGCTTCACTAATTGATGAGGCTGGCTTTGAACTTGCAATTCTCCTGCCTCAGCCTCCTCAGCCACTGGGAATACAGGTGTGTGCCACTGCACCCAGCTAGAATGTCATTTTTTTTAATGGCTGAATAATATTCCAGTAAATGTATATATCACATTTTATTTATCTATTCTTCAGTTGATAGATATTTGAGTTATTTCCTCTTTATAAATAATACATTATAAATAATGCAGCTATCAACATCAAAGTGCTAGTTTTCAAGTCAGCATGTGTTTAGTTCTCTTGAGTACCCACCCAGGAGTGGATTACTGGGTCATATAGTAACTCTACATTTAACTTTTTGAGGCACTGCCAAACTGCTTTCCAAAGCAGCTGCACCTCATCAGTGATGGATGAAGATTCCAATTTCTCCAGGTTCTTGCCAACCTTCATTATTGTGTTTTGTTTTGTTTTTTTGTTGTTTGTTATGGCTATCCAGCAGGCATGCACTTGCACTGTGGGTTTAATTTGCATTCCCCTAATGACTAAGAAGGTTGAATACCTTATTGGCCATTTGCATATCTTCTTTGGAGAAATGCCTATTCCAATCCTTTTCTCTCTTTTAAACTGGCTTATCTTTTTATTATTAAGTTGTAAAGACTTCTTTGTATATTCTGGATACAAGACCTTTATCTGATTAATGATTTCCATATTTTCTCTCCCATTTCATAGGGTGTTTTGAGAGTTTAGTTCTGGACATGTTGAATTTGAAATGTTTTATTAGACTACTAAATAGTTAAAGAGGCAAAGAGGTGAGAGCTGAGAGATATAAATACAGAATCAGCGGTACAGGAAAGGATAATATTTAAAAATCACGAGACAAGGTTCGATCTCTCATTAAGAACACAAGAATAGAGGGAAAGAAAACTGAACCCTGAGACACTAACATTCAGAAGCTGACAAGGAAAAGGAAAGCCACCAAAAGAAACTGAGAATTGATGGCCAGGGAGAAAGGAGGAAACCAGAGAGGGTGGGCCTGGAGAGCTTGGGACAAGAGGAGGAGGACACAACCACCTGGTTCAGATACTCCCAGTAGGTCAAGAACACTGGCGAATGAGAAACCACCACTGGGTTTAGCATCCAGGAGGTGATCAGTAACTTGACCAAGGGCAGTTGTGGAGGAATGTGGGAGAGGACAGCCCCACGGAAGAGGGTTCAAGAAAAAGTGGAAGTGTACCTATCGTCCCAGCTACTCTGGAGACTGAGGCCAGAGGATGGCAAGTCGGAGGCCAGCCTGGGCAACTTATCAAGACCCTGTCTCAAAACAAAAAAATAAAAAGAGCTGAGGATGTGTCTTAGAGGTAAAGCATCCCTGGGTGCAATTACTGGTACAAAAAAAAAAAAAGAAGCGGACAATGAGAAACTGGTAACAATTATCTAGATCTCTTTTAGGGAATTTTGCTGCAAACTTATAGTGGTAGATAATTGGGACTGTCACCCGAAGGGGAAAGAAGTCCCTCCAAGGAGGTAGTCGAATGGCAACTTGGCTCCAAGAGGAGAGGGTCTGGGGTTCTTGACTCACACCACTGAAAAGAATTCCAGGACTTGTGGAAAGCAAAGCACAAGCAACTATTCATTGAAGGATTGCAAAGGTCCACACACCCTAAAGACAGGGTGTGGACACCCCTGCTTCTCAGAGAAGAGGAGATGAGGAATACACCCAAGGCGGAGCTCTCTGGCTTCATATATGACAAGTGCAGTTTCCCAGGCAAGCTTTGGTAAACATCAAATTCCATGTCAATCATTTGATATTTAGGATTCAGAAAGTTCTGGTTAAGCAGTCGAGCCACTAATCAGTTGTGGGCACATTGTGTGGGTCTTTGAATCTGGTGACATTTAAGTTGATTCTGTTGTTGTCCTAGTTGATCTGGTTCAAGCATACACGGAGATAACTGAGACATCAGGACAATTACCCTTACAAAATGTATAATCCACTGGTTCTTAGTATATTCACAAGGTTGTACAACCATGAGTACTATCTAATCTAGAATAGTTTATGACTCCAAAAAGGAAACCTATTATCTATTCCCATAGATAAGTTCCATATTCATGGAACTTTTGTTTATTTAACTAAAAAGGCAAGCGTGGCGGGTCCACTGGTAGGTCTCTGTCTAATTTCCCTGAGAACCCACCTATCTCAGAAGTAAGGCCCAGAGTATCTTTTATTTTATTTTCTTTATCCCCCCCCCCTTTTTTTAAGAGATGGGTCTCACTCCAAGATGGCCCCAAATTCCTGGGCTCAATCCATTCTTCTGCTTCAGCCTTCCAAATTTTGCAGCTTTGCTTTTAAGAAGGGAGAGATGGTATTGTTTATATCAGATGGGAATGAGCCAATGGGAACCAAACGTTAATGACATAGGAAAGGGAAGAATTGCTCGAGTGGCCTCCTGGAGTGGTGATGGCGTGGGACTCATGGAACATGGGCTTCGATGGGGGTGCAGGCCAGACTTTCTATGGAAGAGGTGAGGAAGTTGTGTGCATGCAAACCTGGCATGGGGCTGGGTAGGAATCTGTGGCCCACTGTCTTCAAGGGAAGGGGAAAGCAACAACTCTGAGAGTGAGGATGGAGAAGTGGAAGTGAGGAGAGGGGAACTGTATGGAACTGTATCCAGGGGACAACCAGAGCAGTAGGGAAGGACAGTGCAGGTACCCCCCTCCCCATTAAGGGCTCAGGTGAGGCTTGTGTTCTCAAACAAAAGGCTCAGTTCATGTATCACTTTCTCCTAAAAACTTTCTTTCTTTTTTTTTTTTTTTGAATTTTTAATATTTATTTTTTAGTTTTCAGCGGACACAACATCTTTGTTTGTATGTGGTGCTGAGGATCGAACCCAGGCTGCACGCATGCCAGGCGAGCGCGCTACCGCTTGAGCCACATCCCCAGCCCTCCTGAAAACTTTCTAACCCTCAGACTAGGTCATAGATCCTTGTGCCCCTTCTCCCTCATAATAAAACCAAATCTGAACTCTGTTATTCAGTGTGCGCTTAACCACTGAGCCACATTTCCAGCCCTTTTTAATATTTCATTTAGAGACAGGGTCTTGCTGGGTTGCTTAGGGCACCACTAAGTTGCTGAAGCTGGAGACAGGAGATCCTCCTGTCTCAGCCTCCTGTGCCGTTGGGATTACAGGAGTGTGCCACTGGCCCCGAGTCCCCGGCCACTTTTATTTCTTATTTTGAGACAGGGTCCCTCCAAGCTGCTGGGGATCTCTCTAAATTGCTAACGCTGGCCTCAGAACTTGCAATGCTCCTGCCACAGCCTCCAGAGTCTCTGGGATTACACGTGTGCACCAGCGAGGGGCTATTTTTTAGCTCTTAAACCCGGGTGTCCCTCTGGAGACTCAACCCCAGGAAGACATGCGCAGAGCTGTTTAGACCCTCACTGCATCTAGCCCCTCAACAGCTAGCCTCTAGGGCAGGGTACACTCTGGACATCTGATTAAATAGCTGAATGAGCGAGTGAGGTAAAGAATGAGAAAAACCTTAGAAGTGCCACGAGTGCTTTCGAGTCGACCCAGATTTCTGAAGCAGCCCGGCTCTCATCCCTGGGGGACAACAGACCTCCTCTCCCCACCCCACCACCTCCCTCTTCTAACTCCCAGCCCCACCCCCAAGCGCAGCACCCAGGAGCGCGCACCCTGCGACTTTAAGGGCCAGCAGAAGCCGAGCCGGGCGGTGATTGGTGGTTTATTCTAACGGGTGGAGGATGAGCTCATCGGCAGCCAATGGCCGGGCCGCACCGGGATAGACCCCCCGCACCTGACCTGAGGGCTGCAGGCAGCGGCCGGCTGAGCGCCCTCGCCAGCGGGGCTGAAGGGGCGGAGGCCGTCGGGGAGATCGGCCCCGCGGACCGGGCGCCTGGCTCGGGCAGGTACGGTGTTTTCCCGCTCCTCCATCCTCCCAGGCGACGAGGCCCCTTCCTCCCACCTCCTCAGCCCAGCCTTCCTCGGCCGTCCCTGGGGGACCGTGCACCCTCGTGCCGGGGACTCGCGGGCTGCACGTGCCGGTTGCGGTGCCCAGGCGTGGACATGCGGCTCGGAAGGCGGGACCCGGCCCGGCAGGGCCTGACCCGGGCAGCACAACCCCATCGGCCTGGGTGCTCCCAGAGCACAGGCCTCAGAGCAGAATGTCCCCTGAGCTAGGCAGGGCGGGGACGGGTGGCCTCCCTCATCCTCCCGGCTGCATCCTGGCCAGGGACCAGCTCCTCGCTGTCGGGGCAGGGGGGGGGGCGGTGTGGGTTTCCTACCCACCCCTCCATGCATCCTGTTTTCGTCTCCCTCTCTGAACAGAGGCCAAACACACCTGGGCTTGGAAGTTCCCTGTTGACCCTTTCCCAGTGACTCCTGAGGTCAAAGGTGGCAGAGAGGCTACAGGAAGGTGCAGAGGCAGCATGGCTGGCCTCTCTCTGAGACTCTGCCTCTGCCGCAGCCTCTGCTCTTATCCTTTGCCCATCTGTGACACACATTGCTGAGGGAGGAGCTGCTGTCAGGCCCTTGGAAGCCACATGGCTTAGTGGCTTTCAGGCGGTCAAAGCCATCCAGTCCATAGGCTGGGTCACCCTGCCCTTCCTGCCCTTTGTCAGCAAACTCCATCTATAGTGGCACCAAATCTGCCACTCAGTTTTCTTATCTACCCATGGACTTCAAGGCTGGGCTCTATACCCAGCTCTCTGCTGGTTCCTGAAAGGTCCTCACTCACTGGCCACACTGACCTCAGGACCAAGAGAAACAAAACAAAGAACACACAGTCCATCTTGTCCTGGGAGAGGCGTCACTGAGCTGAAGCAAAGGGCAAATGAGATTTCCATAGGGGCACAGGGAGTGTCTGTGACAGACAATAATGATAGCTAGCGGGGAACAGTGTGAGGAACTGCTCAGAATGTGTGGACTCCACTTGTTTAACACATGCTACACACCAGATTTGTTCTGTGGAGGTCCCATGAGGGCAGCTCTGGGTCACAGATAGCCTCAACCTTCTCCGGTGCTCATCATATAATATATGCTTAAGAAATATTTGTTGAGCTGAATTTTTCAAATATGTATATTTTTTTATTCCAGGGATCGAACCCAGGGGTGCTTAACCACTGAGTCACATCCCTAGCCCTTTTTATTTTTTTGAGTCAGGGTCTTGCTAAGTTGTTGAGGCTGACTTTGAACTTGTGATTCTCCCACCTCAGCCTCCCAAGCTGCTGGGGTTACAGACAGATACCACGTGCCCAGCCTTTTGAACTGAATTTGAATGGAAAAAAAAAAGCTGTGTTATTCTATCATAACCACCACTTGGGGAGGATCTGGCTCATTGGGGGGAACTTATGCACATTAGCTCTCATCGTTCTGGCTTTTGGAGGTGAATAGTCTCCCCAACTTTCAGGGTACAGAGAGTAGTGTCACTCCCAGCTAGGTCCTCCCCAATGCATTTGCTAATTCCAGATCCCAGCTGCAAGGCAGCCATGAGTCTGGTGGCCTTTGAATGCCTGCCTGGCCCAGGTCTGGAGCCTGAGCCCTGTTCGAGAGCACGATCCCAGGCCTGTGTATACCTAGAGCAGATTCGAAACAGGGTGGCTGTGGGAGCACCTGACATGACCAAGCGTGACTACCTGGTGGATGCGGCCACACAGATCCGGCTGGCCCTGGAGCGTGATGTTAGTGAGGACTATGAGGCAGCCTTCAACCACTACCAGAACGGTGTGGACGTGCTGCTCCGCGGTGTGCACGGTGAGGGGGGTCTGGGCAGCGTGGGAGGGGAAGGGCCAGAACAGGGCTTGCCCTGTCATGCATCTGTCCTGTTCTTTGTTCCTCTGCTGTTTGGCAGGGCACTGTGCTAGCCCTGCAGGGTGTCTGTGATGGACAATAATGATAGCTAGCATCTATTAAGCTGTTCCTCTGTACCAGGCTCCCTTCTAAGGGCTCTACCTGTATTTAACCCCACAGTAATAGAAACGATCATATTGGTTGTTGCATATAATTATGAATATGTAGGAATGTTTTCCTTTCTTCTTATCTTTTTTTTTTTTTTTTGAGATGGGGTCTTGCTGAGATGGGGGTCTTGCCCAGGCTGGTCTTGAATTCCTGGGCTCAAGAGCCTTCCTCCCACCTCAGCTACCAGAGTAGCTTGAACTATAGGCATTTGTAGCCAGGCCCCACAGAAACTTTTTTTTAGACTCATTTTCCAGATAAGAAAACTGAGTCATGGGCAATTAAATAGCTTGCTCAAGGCTCCACCGCTCCCAGGGGGCACAGCTGGGGTGGAAGCAGTTTTGGCTGCCAAGGCTGTGTGCTTGGCTTAGCATACTTGGCCACCCCTGGGTCTGAGTGGGTTGCTGTCCCCTGGAGCTTGCACTCCAGGGTCATGTGTGGCTAAGAGTTGATAATGGCCAATTAGTGGGAAGAACAATGAGGAGGAAGTGTGAGAGGATTGGGAAACAGGCCAGATGGGGCTAATGGGGGCATTTTCTAGAAATGAAAACCCTAACTTGAATGCTGAAGAACAGCACGTGCATTATCCGGTGGAAGCCCAAGGTGTTCCAGAGGGAGGGCCTGGAGAGGAGAGAGAGGCCTGCTCAGGGCAGAGTCCTGGGAGAAAGGCTAGTGCTGCGGCCAGTTTGAGACCCCTGAGGGCCTGTGAACAGGCCACAGGCAGGAGTTGCCCCCACTCAGCTTCCTATGCTCTTGCTAAAGAGGCCCCTCCAAGCCTGGGCTTTGGGCCTGTCTATGGAATTCTGATCTGGTCTCTACCCTGATGCCCTTTCACACTGGACCTCAGAGATGGAGGGCGCAATGCTCTCCAGGAACTTCATCTCCACTCTGAATAAATGGACATGGGATCCCCACCCTGACCCTTTCCATGGAGTAATAGTGGCCAGAGAGGTGGTGGGTGCCAACTGTAAAGTATAGCTGGCTAACTGTACCATTTCCCTCCTCTTCCTCCTCCTCACTTGGGGTCAGCAGATCTGGGGACAGAGGCTGCTGAAGCAGTCTTGGAAATAGGAACCATCTGCTCTGGAGGGTGAAGGGTGGGCAGCTAAAGCTGGGGGAGGGCCAGGGGTGGGAGACAGGGCCAGTCCCTGGTGACCCTCGTTTCCCTACAGTGGATCCCAACAAGGAGCGACGCGAGGCAGTAAAACTAAAAGTCACCAAGTACCTGCGGCGGGCTGAGGAGATCTTCAACTGCCACCTGCAGCGGACACTGGGCAGTGGAGCCAGTCCCAACACGGTGAGGAGACCCTCCCCAGGCCCCTTATCAGGGGAGAGCCCTGAGGGAGAGAGCTGAGGCCCAGAGTTGGCCAGCCTATGGTGCCAGAGCTGCCCCTCCTGTTCTCCGGCTTTCTTCTTCCCCCACACCCTCACAGCTCATTCATTCTCAGGCACTCATTGAATCATCCCTAGTCCAGTCTCGCGTTGTCACAGGGGACTTTACAGACACAGCCACCCCAGCTTAAATAGGGCTGCATTCACGTGCTCACATGTGTGGAGCCTCTGGCCCGTTTCTCTTATGAATGAGGCTCCTGGTCTCTGGAGCACACATAAACACATGAATGCAAATGTACACATGTCTGCCCAGGGCTTTCCCCATGTGGCTTTTGCTAACCCCGTGGGTACTTGATCAGGGTTTGAAATGCATGCACAGTTCCTATGCCTACTTGTGTGCACAGGCAAACGTGTGCACCAACTAGGCTCACTGGATCTTGCAGGCTGCCTTAACCCAAGGCAGACGGCTTGGTCTTCAAACCATGTTCCCTTAACCCACATGTGCCCAGGTTATTTCCCATCCCTTACCCTGAAGCATCTGTCTCCTGTGGATGGGGCTTTTGAGAGACTTCTGAAACCCTGAGAACTTTGGGAGGCTTGGAGGGCAAGGCAGAAGCTGAGCCAAATGGTCAGCCTAGCCACCCTGGACCAATGTGGGCCCCCACGAGTCAAGGCCAGCTTGTTAACTCAGCCTGTCCCTGTGAGGTGGGGTCTGCCTGGACTCTGGTCCTACTCACTGTGGTACCCACTGCTCTCCCAGCTGCCAGGAACCCCTGAGGCAAGTCAACCCTGAGCCCACATGTGCCTGTCTCCCTCCTCCACAGGGATTCAGCAGCTTGAGGCTCCGGCCCATCCGCACACTGAGCACTGCCCTGGAGCAGCTGAAGGGCTGCAGGGTGGTTGGGGTCATCGACAAGGTGAGTGGATGCCCAAGGAGTGGGAGGGAGACACGGGTGTAGGTGCCATCCATGGTGGCAGAGGGGAGAGGTGGGTAGGATGGCCGTGGGTCTGAAGTTCTGCCTGCACTCCTCCAGGGGCAGGTGGACAGGGTCAGAGGAGAGAGCAGCTGAGTCCAGGGGCCCCTCCTTTCCCACTCTCACGCTCCAGTCAGGTCCTGAAGAGGGTAATGGGGGAAGGAGGAGAGGCAGCCAGCACCCTCTCCACAGTACTCTGACCCAGACACAGAAATCCAGCAGAGACCACAGGGAGAAGCTGCTCAGAGCACAAGACAGGCACTTGTGTCCTGCCCACTCCCACTCCTCACAGACCCCCACCTACTCTCAGTCTGCACCCCAGGGGTGCAGCCCACCACACACAGCTGAACACTCCCTGTGACTTGAACGTGCTCATGCAAAGCTCTTCAGCAGAGGACCAGGTGGGCCTGCCTTGTCCAGGGCCTGGGAACTCTTCCCTTTTCTTCTGGCACCCCACCGTCATCTGAATTTCCTTACTTCAGGGCAGACAGGAAGACAGGAGATGACATCTCAACCCTCACTCAGGGCATTCATTATTAAAGTGGGGAATCAGTGGGACAAACATGTCAAATGAGAGCTGAGCCAGTCAGATTCCCCTCTGTCCTCCATCCAGGGCTCCCTGAGTATCCCTAAAACAATTTTTTCTCAGACTGGCCTTTTATCAGAATCACTTGGAAAATATAGATGCCTGGACCCCACCCCACATCTGTGGTGTTAGAGGTTGAACCCAGAGCTGAACCCAAGATTCTGCAACTTAAAACACTTGTTGGATGATTTTGGTGATTCTGGGTTTATAGAGAACAGACCAGTGTGGGTTTCCCCCCATGCAACAGGTTGGCATGGCTGCTGGTGGGAGGAGGGGTTGTGGGGAGCAGACCCCTGCCTGGCAATGCACAAGGTGATCACAAGCAAGTCCCTCAGTGCTCTGAGCTTTGGATTTCTCATCTGTAAAGTGGGGTGGGAATTCTCTCCACAAAGGATGATCTGAGAAGGAAAATGAAATCATTTGAGGGAAAGGCCTGGCACATGCAAATATATTCCATGCATGTCTGATGGCTCCCAGTGCAAGTGACATGAGTGAGTGAAGAGGCACAGGCTCCCAGCCCCAGGCTTTGCTACAGCTGCTTCTCCTAGGTCCCTGGAACAGACCCCAGACTGTCACCAAAGGCCCAGCCAGCTTCCATCTGCCAGTCCCCCTCCGCCTGCGCTCAGTGGATATAGCCCCAGCCTGACCTTGACCAAGCACAGCCACTCCCATTGACAGGCTGGGGAGGCGACCATTTCCCACTAAACCATAGGTGTTGTGATGAAGGGTGTTCCAAGTTAAATAAGTTTGAGAAACAGTGAGTTAAGGTTCCATTACTTTTTTGGGGGATGATAGGAGTTCTCTGAGCTTTTAGGATACAAATGTATACTTGGAGTCTTGGAGACTCCAGAAGGGAGGCGTGACACGCATCCCTCAAATTTGAAGGATGTGCAGATTGAAAGCACAAATTAAGGCCAGACTTAACCACGCTGTCTCCAGGTCGCCCTCTTTCTTTGTGACCCTTTCGTGCACACTCAGTTTATGGATTCAGCTCCCTCCTGAGACCCTGCTAACTTTTCCTGTGTCATACCCAAGACAGGAACATCACTTTCCCCAAATTAGGAAAGGTGTTAGGGCCACTGGGCCCATTCCATAGCTCTGCCCAGGCAGATCTGGGTGGCAACGCAGTGCCAGCCCATGGCAGCGGCAGGCCTAGGAAGGCAGCAGATGCCCTGAAGGTGTCCAGTTTTTTTTTTTTTTTTGGGGGGGGTCCCTAGGGGCTGAAGAGAAGCTGGCAGGGGTAGGGGGAGCAGGGAGCAGGGAGGTGCGTGGGCCAGGGTTTATGTAGACAGCCAAGACACCCAAGGGTCCATCTTCAAGGAACCTGGGGACCAGGGAGATGTCACTCAGTTTTTGCTGAGCTTCTTCCAGAATCCAGCCTCTGAGTCAGGCATGAAGAAGAAAAAGGTTATTCAAGTCACTTCTTGCTTTATTTGGCTCAAACACAGGAGTGTTTTTGTTTTTGATTGTCACCAATATTTTAAAACATGCAGATTTCAAATAAGAAATCCAGATTTCTGGCGTCTCCTGAAAAAAATCAAAATACTTGGAAATTCAGGGTTTGCATTCCTACCTGGTTGGAGAAGCTGAGCACTTCCAAGGGGGTGCAGGCCCTCCTATTCGTCTTGTCCCCTTCTGTGCCCCCCACCCACACACTTTCACATACTCAGTGGGCCTTTGAGTTTGAGAACCTATTTGAATCTTTTGGATTATTTGCTCCGTTCAAGATTCCTCCTAGGACTTAGATTTGGGCATCTTTAAAGAGAGGGTTTATTGTGTTTCACCAAAGTTTTAATCATCTCTGTGTCCCAAAAAACTCAGTAGCGTTTTTTTCTAAAAAGAAAAAAAAGTCACCTTTTAAGAAAAGTAAGAAGAGGCACCCCAAACTGCCTTCCATCTTTCCAGTTATCAGACTCACCTGACATTCATGAGGCATGTTGTCATTTCCAGTGCAGTGGCAAGAGGTCCTCACAGTTGCTGTTCAGTATAGAAGCCATTAGCCACATAACACAATTTACGTTAACAGTAATTAAAATCAAGTATTCTGTCTTAATGGCACTAGCCACATTTTAAGGGCTAACTGGTCACATAAAGCTAATGGCTTCGACACTGGACAGTGCAGATATACAATATTTCTACCATGGCAGGAAATTCTATTGAACTTGTTGCATCATAATAATTGTCTGACAGAGAATGAAACTGAGGTTCATGGAAGTTGAGTACTAACTAGATAGTACTCGGTCCCTCAGGCCACTAAGTGAAAGAAGAAGGGGATTTTTTTGTTTGGTTGCATTAATGGGAAAATGCCCTCTTTGCTGCCCTTTAGAATATAATGAAATAGAAAGGAGTTTAAAACTGGAAAAAAACAAGTCAAAACTTACTGCTATCTAACTCCAAGATAATTGCTGTTAATGTTTTTGGCCTAATTCTTTCTAGATAAATAGTTAGGCTTTGATTTTTTTTTTTAACACAAAATCTTTCAATGTGTGTGTAAAGTGGCCATCCTGGCTTTGCCTTCACTGATGGTTTTTTGGACAGTAAATCAAGAGGGCCTTGCCCAGGACAAGGTGGTGGGGAATCCCACTTGGCATGGGATGGTGGGGAATTATCCGGGGTGTTGGTACTTGTGGGAAACTCTGGTCTCTGAAATGATCCCAGAATTTTCTGCCTTTCTTTTTCAAACATTGCACAAGTTTGGTCAAGGAGCCAAAACCAGGGTTCTGTCTCTGGCTGCTGAAGGGGAGACCTCTGGTGGTCAAAGGGACACCTCCCAGGCAAAGGGCTGGCACTCATTTAGTCTGCTGCTTTCTTTTTACTAATAGTGGGGAAAATGAGTCCCAAAGGGAAGGAACCTGCCATGGTCACCTAGTCATGCCCCCCGCTGCAGTGAGGTCTTCAGGACTCTGGGATCAGCCTGCCCTGAGTCAAATCCTGACTGCTACTTTTTAGCAGTGGGACCATAGGTGGGCAATATCACCTTTCTGAACCTCAATTTCTTCATCAATAAAATGGGCCACTAGTAACTGTCACCTGGTAGGTTGTGGGAATAAAGTAACCTGTGACAAGTACCTAGCGCAGAGTGAACTCTTCATAGCCAATATAGATTTCTTCTACAATGCCTTTTGATAATTTTGATATGGATTATGAGGGTTTGTACTTCGATTGACTGCTTTAATCAAACCCCCTAATGACCCTCTGGAGGAGGAACTGCTATGAACCCACTTTGCAGTTAAGAAGAGCAAGGTTCAGAGAGGCTACATGATTGGCACCGCGATAAACGCCATTCTCGCAGTCTGTGTAATCCCAGAGGCTTGCCCATGTGAGGCTTCATCAAGCCCATGATGCAGAGAAGGTGGATATTTGTAATTCCGTTTGGTGGTAGAAAACATTGCCTCACTTGTCCAATATGTAGATGCGCAATGCACTTTCCCCTACCCTAATCCTGGCTGCATTGTCACCACTGTCTGGCCTTAGGGTCTGGTTCCCACTCATCATCATGGCCAAGGAGTCACAACACCAGGGTGCTGTCTTGCCTCCACATGCCCCTTATCTAGGCTGAACCCTCTGCCTTCTTGTCCTGATACATCCATGTGCCCCCTCCTACAGCTGGGCCCGCCCTGTTGAGTCAATGACCCAACTCCAAACAAGGTGTGGACCAGCAACTGGCTGAATGCTACCTGTAACCAAAACTAACACCAGGAGGGGCTGCTTTCTGAAGACAGCCTCCAGAGAGAGATTTTTTCATTCAGGCTGGCCTTGAACTTCTGGGCTTAAGCAGCTTTCCTGCCGTAGCCTCCTGTGTAGCTGTAAGGCACAACCACACCTGGCTTAAAGAACTTTTTTTCCTTCTTTTTTTGGTACCGGGGATTGAACTTGGGGATGCTCAACCACTGAGCCACATCCCTAGCCCTTTTTTTTGTATTTTACTTAAAGACAGGATCTCATTGAGCTGCTGAGTGCCTCACTTTTGCTTAGCGCTTCGCCACACACACACACACCCTCGAGGTACATGAATTGTCATGTACCTTGACCAGTGCCTCCTGGACTTTGGCAGGTGCAGCTGGTCCAGGACCTACTCCTGGCTAGAGAACTTTATTTTTTTTAAAAGGAGGTGCTACAGGGCAGGGGGAGAGACCCCAAGAAGATTGCCAAGCCCAGGCATGGTTCAGCCCACATGACCTGGAGCTGTACACTCAGAGCCTCAGCTTCCTGACTTGTAAAACAAGGATCAGAGGAAATGAGGTCCCTTCTGGCCGTGACACCTTCAGACCCTGCAGAATGGGGGGCTCTGGGTGAAGTCTAAGTGAAGGGTTGATCTCCTTATGTGAGGCCTGGCCAAGCATGGGCAAGAAGGGGGAGAGAAGTTCTCACATCCAAGTCCTCCTAGCCCCAGCAGCTGGTACTGGGGCCACTCACCAGGCATGTGTGAAGTACCCACTCCATTCCTGTGCTGTGCTTGGCTCTGGGAATACAAAACTAGATAGTGTGGTCCCTGCCCTCAGGGAGCTCAGAGTCCAGGGAGCAAATATGTAATGAGACACGGTATGACAAGGCTTCCCCGAGGGTGAGCACAGAATGCACTGTTGATGGACTAGGAGCCCCAGATGCTGGAGGAAGTAGCCCCAGAGCTGAGACCTGCAGATCTAGCAGAGTAGAACAGAACAAGGTAGATGTCAGTTTAGAGGTGGAGGACATCTCTGAGCCACCAAAGCCTGCCCTCCCTGCCCTTCCCTGAAGGATCGGCTTGGTGGAGAAGCCTGGTGCGGGGGCGGGGGGGGGGGGCAAAGAGCCCCAGGAATTGTCATGTACCTTGATCAGTGCCTTCTGGACTTTGGCAGGTGCAGCTGGTCCAGGATCCAGCAACTGGAGGGACCTTCGTGGTGAAGGCAGGCGCCGCCCAGCTCCCGCCATGCTGCATTCCCCTTGGAACTTCCTCAGAGTTCTTGAAACCCCTTCCTTCTGGGGAACCCCATCCTCAGAATGTGCATCAGGAGCCCATGCTCCCTCCAAATCTAAAAGCTGCTTGTTTTGCCCCTGAACATGGCCCCGCCTCCTAACCAGACACACACACACACACACACACACACACACACCCTCACCTTGGCCAGGAGGGTGGAGGACCTGATTCCTGGGGGAAGAAGGGGAAGCCAGGTCAGAAACTGGAGAGGCATTTGCTCCTCAGAGTGGCTCCCACTTCTCATCTGGATTCCCCTGAAGCAAGGGCTAAGATGATCCCTAGAAGTGGCAGCCTCTGACCAGTCCCAGCTGACCTGCCCACCCTACTCCCTCCCCAGAGTCTGCCCAGGTGCCACGTGGTGAACCGGGAGCGGCTGACCATAATCCCGCATGGAGTGCCCTACATGACAAAGCTGCTACGGTATTCCGTGAGTGAGGACTCCATCTTCTTGCACTTGGAACATGTGCAAGGTGAGGGGGCCCCTCAGCAGCTTGAGCCTTTGGTATTGTTGACACCTACCCCCTTAAAATACTGAGCCCTGGGGAGGGTTATGGCTTTCACTAGATGCACAGTACAGATCAGGGATCCAGGCTTTCTGGAGATTGGCGGCAGGACCTGGCACCAGGCACATCTGGTGTCAGAGGGGCTGGGAGGATGTCTGCACGTAAGCAGATGAGACAGCATTTATACACTGTCTCCTTGGTCACCATTTCCTCTTGTCTTGGCTCTTCTCATTTTTCTGGTTGGTGCTCGTCTCTCAGAATGGCCACACAGGATGGTGGTGACTGAAGCCTTAAGGACAGGAACTGAGCCATGTAACTGATATTTTTTGATGATTATAGTGATTTTTTAAAAATGAGGTACATCCTTGAGTCATGACATAGAGCCATCATGGATTCCTGCCTGGTCTTTGAATGTCATTACATAAGTCTTCCTATGAAAAAGAAAAAAAAAATTAGAATATGTTGAACATTGGTGAACCCACCACGCAGAACAAGGCCATCAACAATAAATACAGCAGTCTTGGGGTTCAGCACCTATGCTATGCAGGCTGGGAGGCTGGGCCTTCGAGGCTGAGTGGCAGGCAGGGACAGAGGTGAAGAGGTTGAACAGGGAAGGAGCCCAGGCAGGTGGAGGTCCACACCCAGCATGGAGGGGAGGCGGGAGTGAGACCAGACCCCGTGTCCATGCCCTTCTTCTCCCTTCCCACGCTCACTGCTCCCTCTGCCTGGCCCAGGAGGCACTCTCTGGTCCCACCTGCTCTCCCAGACGTGCCCCCAACATTCTGGGCTCAGGTCTGGCTCCACCCAGGAGAAGGTGAAGGCCCAGCTCAACACCAGCCTCAGCCTCAGTCTCCTGACCCCAGCACAGCTCCCCCCAGGCCACACCCTCAGGCAGGCCAGCATCCCTCCGGAACCTCCTTGGACTTCTCAGAGTCTTCCTGCTGCCAAGGAGGCCCCCTCCTTCAGACCCCAGAGAGAAGCGGAAAGTGAATCCACAGGCAAGACCAGCACTTCCTGCTCCTTGGACCTAACAAAAGCCCCCAGTGGCTTGAACCTGCAAGCCAGGCGGGCTGGCCAGAGGTCAGACCCTGGGCCCCCTTGGGGGATCCCTTGGGTTCGCAAGGGGGCTGGCCGGGTGCTGGGGGCCTGTGGCCTAGGCAGAGGTCAGAGCCACCCATCAGAGGGCAGGGCCAGCCTAGGGGACAGTGGGGCTGTCTGGAGCGTGAAGGAGGAGAAGGTGAAGCAGTGGGCAGCTGAGATGTTGGTGGCACTGGAAGCACTACACGAGCAGGGGGTGCTGTGCCAGGACCTCAACCCCAGGAACCTGCTCCTGGACCAGGCAGGTAGGAGGCCCAGTCTCACTACTCCTGCCCTTCTCAGGTGGGATGCCCCCAGGGTCAAGGTGACCTCTTAGGTTATGTGCCACTTTCCCCTACCTCCATCCAGCCTTTCATTGGACACTGATGGAGTCTGGCTGGCCTTTGTCCCCATGAGACTGGGGTAGCAGCTCCCAGGAATATCCTGTGAGCCTCTGGGTCTCAGGGGCTGTGCTCTTGGGGAGACTGTCCAGCATGGCAACCTTTGGCTCCCACCATGTGACTGTGTTGGGGGAAGCCCTGGAACCACCTCCCCCATGCCAGCTGCTTGGTGATGGTACCCTCAACCATTGTCCCCTGTCATTCCTTCCTATTCACACTGGACATGAAGGTCACATCCGGCTCACATATTTTGGCCAGTGGTCAGAAGTGGAGCCCCAGTGCTGCCGGGAGGCTGCGGAGCTCCTGTACAGTGCCCCAGGCAAGAAAGCAGGGGGTGGGGCTTGGCCTCTGGTACTTCTCTGTGGATTGATTCTGGGGGCTAAGGATGACAGAGGGGATGGAGTATGTGGTAGGATGAGAAGAATGGAGAGGGCCCTTTTGAGTGAGGCAGGGATGTGTGTGTTCCTGTTCCCGCAGAGGTGGGTGGGATTTCTGAGCTGACCGAAGCCTGTGACTGGTGGAGCTTTGGGTCGCTGCTGTATGAACTGCTGACGGGAAAGGTGAGTAACTGGCAGGGTGTGGAGCCCTGGTGGGTACTGCTGCATCCAGTCATTCAGTGACTGGGCAGAGGCTGCATGGTTCTCTAAGATCTGGCCATGGGGCTGAAAGTCCTGCCTCCCCTGCAGGCCACCAGGGATATAGGAAGTCACTTCCACCAGGCCATGGGCACACAACACCCCACTGCACTAGCAGCTATAGCAAATGAGATGGTCAGCTTCTATGAGTGTTAAGTTGGGACAGTTAGGGAAGGCTTCTGGAAGAGAAACCAGGCTAAGGTTTGAAGAGAGGGTGGAATTTGACAACCCTCCTTCCCTGGATCATCCGAGCTTCCTCTGCCCACTGCTGGCTCCTCCTACCCATGCCCTTAGGGGCTTCTGCCCCAGATCTAAATGGGAGGATGAGAAAGAGAGGGGGCGGGCCTTTTATCTAGGGCAATAGCTGCCCTGTCTTGTTTGGGTTAGCCAGGAGCTCAAGGTTCCCCTACAACCCTCTTGCTCAGGATGATGACTGCCTTTTGTCCTCCCTTGGGATGAGCTCAGCACCATATCTGGGGCCGGTTAGGTTGGAAAGCAAGGAGAGGCCAAACTGCATCTGAGCAGGAAACAGTCGGAATGGATGCAGTGTGACCTGAAGTCCAGACCTGACCTCCTGGCTCCCTCCTGTTTTTGTCCCCTATCTGGGGGTCTCTGAGAGTCCTGGCTGCAAATATTCACCACCACCACCCACCACCACCACCACCACCACCAATCCAGCTCTCCTAGTATCCCACCACCTCTGCAGGCTAGGGTTCTTGGCCTTCATCCTGGAGCTCCTAGCAGCTAACCCTTACCTCCAAAGAGACCCCCTCTGCTCTCCAAAGCTGCACCTTTGGGCATGGAGAAGTCTATGTCACCACACCCTGCATAGCATACAATTCTTACCTTGGCCCTGGAGGCAACAAGACATGGTCAGCTGTCAGATGAGTAGCCCATGGAGGCTTTTCTCTGTAAGGAGACAAGTCCCAGAGCCATTCATAATAGTATGCCTATCCCGATTGCCACCCGAGATGGGTACTTGCAGCCAGAGGGACCTGGGTTCAACTCTGAACTCAGCACAAGTCCCTTTTCCTCTGAGCCTGCTTCTTGTCTTTAATGATAAGGTATGTCAGGGATCCAGAACAGGGTCTGGCACCTAGTAGATCCTGAGCAAAAGGCAACTCTCAATGTCATCATTATCATCATCCCTATGGAATGTGACATGAGGGTGGGGGTAGGTTCCTGGCTGCCACTGGAGTGTAGACTTTCCTGGGGCTGTCTACTTTTGTCCTTCCAGGCACTGTCACAGAGCCACCCCTCAGGATTCCAGGCTCATACCCAGCTCCATCTGCCTGAGTGGCTCAGTCCCTCAGCAGCCTCCCTGCTGACTGAGGTGAGGTGCAGCCCAACCTAGAGGTGGGTGGGTTCTCGGCCTATGGTTAAAGACTGGTGGCACAGCATCCCACAACTATGTGTGACACATGTGTGTTGCGTGGGTCGGAAGGGCAATGCATAGAAATCTTATACATTGGTGACTAACTGCCACCAATGACCGCCCATACCCTCTGGGGAAAACAGGGTTTACAGGCAGGGCTAGCAGGGAATGAGCCACCTAGGGCCCTGGTGAGTGAGACCTTAGGGGTGGGCCCCTGCCTCAGTAGTGGGGGCAGGGAAGGCCTGTCAGAGTACTGACCCCTGGCCTCTCCCAGCAGCTGCTACAGTTCGATCCCACACGGCGCCTGGGTGCTTCAGGAGGTGGAATCAGCAAACTCAAGTCCCACCCTTTTTTCAGTACTATCCAGTGGAGTAAACTGGTGGGGTAATGGGGTGAAGTGGGTGGTGGAAGCAGCTGGCCAGGTCTGGATGTCCTGCCTGTCAGAGCTGGCCCCTCTAATCAGTGGGCTGCAGAATGTGGGGTAGCTGTCTTTCCTGCCCAGCTCCCTTCATGGGCCTCAGGAACAATTATCACCACTGCCCCAAAAGGGCCAGCCCCTGAAGAAGCTGCAGAGGGGCAGCAAGGCTTCCCCTGCTAATAAGCAGCTTGACCAGCCTTCCACCCATCAGCCAGCAGGCACATGTTGAGTACACCCTATACTCTCATGGACCTACCACCTTAAAGGGCACCTTCTGTGGTACTGGCTTTGAACTATGGACCGCCTGCTGAGCCCACAGGAGATTTTGTGATGTACTCCTTCACTACCATGCTGTGCCTGACTTGGGACATCTCTGGAGACTCCTCCCAGGATACAGATCCACTGGCTGCTTGGTAGACCCAAACCAGGGCCCTCCCTGGCTGTCTTCTTAGTTATGCAGCAAGCAGCTACTAGTTGCTCCCATCAGAAGCTGTTCCCATAGGGGTAGGGAGAGTGGGAAGCAGGGGAGAAGGTGCAGAACTGGATGATCCACTCCTCACTCCTGTCCAGGACCCTTATCTGATGATTTCAGACTTGGGAGAGCAAAAGGGAGGGGAGAAACTAAGAAGATAAGGCAAAATGGGATGGGAACAGGTGACACAGTTTGCCACTTGTATCAAATTTGAAAACAATAAAGAGCTTTTTTAGCTGGGCATAGTGGCATGTACCTATCATTCGAGTGACTCAGGAACCTGAGGCAGGAGGATTATAGTTCAAGGCCAGCCTGGCCAACACCGTCTCAAAAAAAGCAGTGTGTGGGGGTAGAGTGAAGAGGCTTGAGATGTGGCTCAGTATTTTGTAGAGCACTCGCTGGGTTCAATCCCTAGTTCAAGAACAACAAACAAAACAAAAATTTTCTTCTCCAGCTGCCAGCTGGCCCACCTAGCAGGGGAACCCTTCCCAGGTTCCAAAAGGGGCTGAAATAGCTAAGACAGGTGTGCCTATGAGGATTCCCTTCTCAGGCACTGGATCTATTTACCATACTGCATTTTAGTTGAGGTTCTACTCAATTCACTGCCCACTGTGACTTCATTTCTGTTTGGAATAAGAAACCATGAAACACATTAAATTATTACTCACTTTTAGCCAGAAGCAAGATGTTTCTAGTCTCTGAAGAACTGGGGTAAGTGGGCACCTCAAAAGAGCCCAGGTATGAAGGTCCTTCTCACACCCCACCAACTTCCACTAAACCTATGCCCTCAGCTCCTTCCTGTCACTGTCTCCACTACCACCAGGTGGCGTCTCTGGAGGACCAACTCTCTGTCCTGGGGAGGTCCAAGGCTCCCCAGCTTCTCAGGAAGACTCTGGGAAGAGGATGGGGAAAAGCAAAGCCTGTGTATGATCATCTATGGCTCATGCCCAGGCATTTGCCCACCCCTAATAAAGTCTGCTCTTCCTACTGTGTCCTTGCATCATTAATGTAGTCAAAATACCTGCTAGAAGGGGCAGACTGCAAAGCTCAAGAATGAGCTTGGGTCCTGCTAGAAGAAGCTGCCTCAGGTCTCAGTGGAAGTGGAAGTGCAGTGTAAAGGGCACTGGACTCTGTGGGAAATAAGAGAGGAAGAGAAGCCTTGAAAGAGGGTCATGGTACCTGGCAGGTGAGGGGGGACTAGTTTAATCTTCAGTGACCCCTCAGGAGATGGTAGCTCCTGAGAAAACTGAGACTCTAAGAAAATTGACTCTATAGCAGCAGGACCTCAGAATTACTGTTCCTTCTGACCCACTCCCCAGTCAGGCCAAACTACTTCCATCCACTGCTTCCTAAAGTGCAGGTCACTTCTGAAGGGTCCCTTCCTGCCAGCACACACTGCACACTTGGCATTGTTAGGCCCTCAGTTTAGAATACTGTGGTCCCAGTACTAATAAGGCTTGAGGTTGATCTCTCCAAAAAAAAAAATGTGCTTTGGTTTACTAGAAAATTAATAAAGCTTCTGGCACCAAGCCCTGGACTTGACACATAATTCTAGCTCTCCCTTTCACTGAACCATTTTCCTACCCACCAGCTCTAGTTCTGCCCTCTAGGACCTACTTCCTTCCTGCAACAGACCTCCAGACTGCTGGCCTCACTATAGGCAGGATCAGCAGACAAGGACTTTGTGTGGAAAGATAAAGCTGTTTAAGCATGGATTCAATGATGCCAGTCACCAGTCTAGCATAGTTATCAGCTCTTTTCACTGACCCTCAAGGCCCCTGCTCTGCGGAAACTTCCCCTCATTTGCTCATACTGACCTCATGCATCTTGGTACATGTGACAAGTCCAAGTAAAACTATAAGAGATACTGCCACAATCCATCCCAGAAATAATACAGCCCCCCAAAGTGCAGCTGTCCCCTGGTATCTTGAAGGGGGATCACAAAGGTGAAAACTGTAATTTCTTGTCAAGAGTCCAGCTAGCCATGGGGCTGGGGTTGTAGCTCAGCGGCAGAGTGCTCGCCTGGCATGTATGAAGCACTGGGTTCCATACTCAGCGCCACTTAAAAAAAAAAAAAGTATTGTATATATATTTACAACTAAAAAAATTTTTTTTTAATTAAAAAAAAAATAAGAATCCAGCTAGCCAGGCTTATAAGGTTCGCTAGAAGCAAGCTGGGGCACTAAGAGACTAGTGTGCTTCCCTGGCTGGCGGACTTCCAACTTCTGTCATATTAGTACAGTTTAACTTAAGTCAGAAGCATGGGACATTATGAGACCAGTGCTATTGACAACCATTAATTAGTACAACTGTCAGTGCTGAAGACTTACAATACCTCAGTAACCAAAAGGAGCACAGATGCAGGAACCCTGTTTGAGAACATGTGTCCTTTAATTTTCATTCAAAATCAGTTTCTTTAAATACTTTAGTTACAAGTTCTGAATGGTAAAGACAGAGTAGCAGATGCTGCAGGCACTCAGTACCGGCCCCTCCCCCCACCCCCAACCCTGGCCTTGCTTCTTGGCTCAAGATAAAAAAGGGCACTCTGCACTAACTAATGGCCCCGGTGTCAAGTGCCAGCAGTCTCAGGCATGGATGCAGTTGGATACAAAACCATACAGCAAAGTAGCTTTCACAAGATACTTGCATTTAACCATGCTCCAAAGGAATTCCAATGATTGTGCCCAGACTCAAAGGGCAGTACCTTAGAGATGATACCAGTCACTTCATCACTATGTACTAATATCTGGAGGCTGGGTCCCACCACAGTCCATCCTCCCCTAGATCTGTGTCCTATAGGGCAAGAGCCAAGGCCTGGCTCCCTATGGGCCACAACATGGGAAGGAAGAGGACAGCATCCTCAGTCCAACTTGAATCTAAAAGCTCGAGTCAATGTGAATAAGTCAGAGGACACCTCCTATCCCCAGGTTCCAGTCTTCACTGTGACCAGGCTCTGTCCCACTGCCATGATGTGCTAGAATCTGCTATAAATGAGGACAATGTGCTAGATGGTTCCTAGCATCCTGGAAAGGATTGACACAACCATAACTGTGATTATGCCAAAGTGGGTCTTACTGGCACGAATATATGACTGCGAGTGTGAGGGCAGGCCTGAGTTCTGCTCTCACTGACATTTACAACATGTTGCCTCAGGGGGGTACTCTGCCTTCTCCCCCCACATCCAGATCCCCTGGCCTGTGTTTCCTGGAAGAGGTAGAAGAGGCATCTTGAAGTCACTGACAACTGAGAATGACGGTGCCATTTAAGAAGCAAAACAGCACCTCTTTGCCTGTGTTCAATACCTCCACACAGATGGCATCAAGTGAGAATGTGCACAGCTGGGACAGAGGCTGCTCTGAGCCTGGGAGGCAGAGCACCCCCCTAGGCATTTCTGGAGAACAGATTTTCCAAAGATGAAAATTTAATCACATGGTCCCAGTGGTTTCCCTATAATATACTGGCAATGGGGAGAAGCAAAACTCATCTGTGCAGAGGCTAAATGGAAGAAAGGCAGGAATATTAATGAGCATCCATTAAGGCTCTCTCACTCTCTCTCTTTCTCTTAAGCCTAAGGAAATAAGATATTCAAAGGCCAGAGAAAGATTCAGAGGGAGAGAGCCTGACAGGAACACCAAGAGAAGACCTGCAACTGCTGGTTACATAGTACCCTGGCTTCCTTGCTTGAGGCCAACAGCAAATACCTGCCTGTCACAGGCTAACCTGGGACCCATGAGGGGACAAGGAGAAGACTGGTTTTAAGTTCCTGCATGGTCGATTTATAGGGTGTGGAGCTTTCTCTTAAAGGTCCAGGAGGAGAACTCTGGGATCCTCTACTGCTGCCTTGATTTTGCGGAGAAAAGTCACAGCCTCTCTGCCATCAATCAGCCGATGGTCATAGGTCAGGGCCACAAACATCATAGGCCGCACCTCCACCTGTAGAGGGGAAAGGTCAACAGGTCAGTCACCAATAGGTCAGAGAAAGCTCTGTAGAGGGAGGGAGATGGGAAAGTGCAGCCCTCAGGCAAGCTCTTAGTTCCAGAGGCTTTCCTATTAATGTGGCCACTGCATACTTATCATATTTTCAAAGGCCAATCTTTACCTTTAGTGCAAAGCTCCTCTACTTAGAAACAAAGAATAAACAAAGAGAAAATAGTCGCACAACTGCCCTTAAAATAAAACATCACAACATAATCTGCCTTGTCCACCCTCCAACTCATCTGTTGTCTACAGAAAGCCTTCCTCCTCTGTTTGGGCTGCCTGAAGCATTGCAATTACACATCCTCCACCCCTCCCCTCTGAAGTTCTAGGGATTGAACCCAGGGCCTCAAACCTGCTAGGCAAGTGCTCTACCACTGACCCACAGCCCCAGCCCATAGTTACAATTTAAAAGAAAAAATATTTAACCTGGGGTGCACAAATTCTCTTGACACTATGCAAAATTGGGTGACCATTTTCCAGGCAGAAGATCCATGGCTTTTCAATTCACAAAGGAAGTAATGATCCCAAAAGATTCTAAACCCAGGAGTCTGAGAAAGTTTTTTTTCCTATCAATATATCTTTTAAGGGCTAGCTAAAGCCCCTTTATCATCTAAGGCCTTAGAAAATTTCCAAGCCTTATCAGACAACTTCAAAGCTCCTAAATTCTTGTGCATTCTTGTCTTCTGTTTCCCAGGGACAAGGTCCATGACTGCAACTCTATCCCCCACTCTCTATAGCACCTAAACAATGAAACATTTTAATTGGTCCTAGAGGAAGGGCAAGTCTCCTCAATGGTTCTCACATATGCTGAGATGGAATTAAGAATCTGCATTTTTTTTTTTTTAAGAATTTTTAATATTTATTTTTTAGTTCTCGGCGGACACAACATCTTTGTTGGTATGTGGTGCTGAGGATCGAACCCAGGCCGCACGCATGCCAGGCGAGCATGCTACCGCTTGAGCCACATCCCCAGCCCAAGAATCTGCATTTCTAACAAGTTCCCAGATGACATTGATCCATAGACCACAATTTGATAGTGAGTGCCTTAGCTGTTAATTATAAACTAAGAAATGAAACTTAGGCCTAAAATTATAGTGAATGCTCTATAATAAGCCTTTAATTGGACTGCACTCTCATCATCACCCAGCTATTAGGTAGGACCTTATAAGCAATAGTTCCTACCTTGCCTCCCACAGCCACTGGCCTGTCAAAGATGGCGTGCATGCCCAGGATGGCAGACTGAGGGGGATTGATAATGGGTGTTCCAAAGAGCGAGCCAAAAACGCCTCCGTTACTGATGGTGAAAGTACCACCATCCATATCTTCAATGGCAAGTTCATTCTTTCGGGCCTAAAAACAGAGAGTTCACAATTGAAACATTAAACAAATACAGGTTCCTTCACCTAAGAAAGTAAGTCCATATCTGAGGTAAGTAAGCTCATATCTGAGATCAGTACTACACGCTCCACCTTCAGCATGACAATTGCTTAGTCTTTTCTTGAAGAAAAGACTGTGTTAGTGCTCAAAAAAAAGGCATGATTGCATAGAATTGACCTTTTCTTCCCCCAGCAGGTCTCACTTCATGAGATTTCAGTCAACTAAGCATGCTATGCTTAATCTTCTCGGGCACTACTTTCCTCAATGGCTATGTATTTCTTAGGGAATAAAGTGAGGCTCCAGCTCCTGGAGCTCTGCCAGCTGGCTCTTCCCTCACCTGCCCAGCAGCTCTCATGCACACTTCTTTCTACCTTACCTTCTCTCCCAGTTCACTAATGGTTCGTTCTATATCTGCATAATTCATAGTTTCCACATTCCTGATGACAGGAACCACCAGGCCCTGAAAAGAATGAAAAAACATTTTCAGTTGCAAATTAACAGTACCCTTTCTAGTTACAAGTCCTCTACCCAGGATAATTTTATTAGTCACCATGATTAAAAGTCTAAGATATTTAAATCCGACATTAAAAGAACATGGTATGGTTTTAAAAAAAAAAAAAAAGGTTACTTTTACTTAATACCTCCATTCCCCACCTCCTGCCCCAACATACCCGAGGCGTGGCCACCGCAACACTGATGTCAATATAATCCCTATAAACCACCTCTTTGGTTGCATCATCAATCACTATGAGAGACAGAGAAAAAAAAATGTTACATATAACTCCCCAGGCCAAGGCTAATAAGCTAATATTTCTATTAACAGAATAAAAATCTGCAGTTCTTGATACAGTGTGGGCTGACCAATCAGCATAAAAATAATTACATTACAAATGGCAACTGGCACACTACTTACTCCTATCCCAAGCAATGATAATATTTCCCAAGTTCCCTAACTGAGCATACTTTCTGTGGCAGCCCTCAGAAGTGCTCAATACACAGGCTACATGGGATTAGAGAGCATCAATTTCTTGTTATTACCCCTCTTAAGCCCTCCCTTAGCACGGGATGGCTAATGTTAACAAAAAAATGCCACTCAGCAAAGAAGAAGGGGCACAGGCACGCTGCCCATTCTGCTTTCAACAAGGGGAAGAAGGAAGCTTCTCTTTAGGAAATGGAGGGGGAACTAGTAGTCTGGCTTTTTTTTTTTTTTTTAAAGAGAGAGTGAGAGAGGAGAGAGAGAGAGAGAATTTTTTTTTTAATATTTATTTTTTAGTTCTCGGCGGACACAACATCTTTGTTGGTATGTG